CCCGATGTGGATGACACTGTACCTGCTGTCCACCCGCCTCCCTGACCGTTTTGCTACAGCCCGTGACCACTTTCTCACTGTTAACCCCATGTCCCTCACCATTGACCTCTTTGAAAAGAGGCTCACTGCTGTTGAGGACCTTGCCCGTTCCCTTGCTGCTGCCTCCGGTACTGCCCTCCCCCCCATCTTTGAGGGATGTGCTCCGTCCTTCCTAGCTTCCCCTGTCGATTCGGCGTCTGTTGCCACTGTACCAGAGGTGGCAGCCGTTGCCCTTGGCAACAAAGGGGGCAAGAAGGGGGGTAAGAAGGGAGGAGGTGGTGGCAGTGGTGGGGGTGGCGGAGGGGGCGGTGGTGGAGGTGGCGTAGGGGGTGGTGGTGGAGGAGGTGGAGGGGGTGGGAGTGGTGGAGGAGGCGGAGGAGGAGGCAGTGGAGGTGGAGGTAGTGGGGCCCCCCCAGCAGCAGCAGCCTCACCAGCAGCAGCCGCAGCAGCCGCAGCCACAGCAGCAGCGGCAGCAGCAGTTCCAGGGCCAGCGCCAGCAGACGCCGCAGCAGCAGTGGAGGTCCCCTGGACCCGGGAGCTCTGTCAGCAGCAGCGGCCCGCCCAGCTGGACGTCGCGTGGTCCAGCCCAGCACCCCCCCTGCCAGTATAGGGTGCTGACTGGGCCGCGTGGAGGCTACCCTTGTGGCCGCTTCCACCCCCCGGGTCAGTGCTTTGCACAGCTCACTGACCGCTACCGTGCGCAGTTTGGCCCCACCCGCACTGTCCCCGATTGGGCCTCACTGGCTCGTTCTGTTGGCCCGCAGTTGTATAGCATCACTGCACCTCAGTTAGATGAGGCTGTGCGTTCTATGTCTGTGATGTATGCCGATGACTCTATTGTTGATGATTTTGCGTACTATTCCTGTTTCTCTAGCTTAGGTGCTGTAGAGGTTGCTAGTGCTTTCCCTGCTAGCGTAGCTTGTCCAGGTTCGACCACCGAGACTGCGTCCCTGTCGTTCACACTCGACTCTGGGGCGTCCAGCTGTTTCTTTCGTGACCGCGCCGACCTCACACCACTACGCACCCCCGTCACTGTTGCCTTGGCCGACCCCTCTGTGGGACATGTGGTTGCTCGCAGCACCACCACTCTCCCGTGTCCGGCTGCTCCCTCTGGGGTCCTTACAGGTTACTACACCCCCTCGTTCTCTAGGAACCTGGTGGGTGTCAGCCACCTCCATGACCTCGGAGTAGTCACCACTTTTCCCTTAGAGGAGTCAGTTGCCTCCTGCACAGTCGGTACCACTGGGGCCCCTCTGGCCACCTTTCGCAGGGAGCCGGGCTCTGGTCTGTACTCACTACACACCGGGTCCCACCACACTGGGTCAGGTCTGGTCAGGTCAGGTCAGGTAGCCGCTGTGTCGTGTGACTGTCGGTCCCTCACCCACCCGTCGGTCCTCTGGCACCACCGTCTAGGTCACCCGTCGTTCCCACGTCTCAGTAGGATGGCACGTCACCGTCTGGTCTCAGGTCTCCCAGCGTCGCTTGCCCCGCTTCCCCGCTCTCCAGCGCCGCCGTGCACTCCTTGCGTCGAGGGTCGGCAGCGCGCTGCCCCTCACTCCTCCTCGTTCCCCCCCACCACGTCTCCCTTCCAGACCCTGCACTTGGACGTCTGGGGCCCCTCTCCGGTCCTTGGCCCACGTCAGGAGCGCTACTTCCTGATTGTGGTGGACGACTACTCCCGCTACACCACGGTTTTCCCTTTGCGACGGAAGGCCGACGTGCCTACCGTCCTCGAGCCGTGGCTACTAGCGAGGGGTGGCGCCCAGGGCCTGTGTGGGCTCCGTCTACACTCGGATCGTGGTGGTGAGTTCTCTTCCACTCGACTGGAGACGTTCTATCAGGGTCGGGGGATCATCCAGACTTACACGTTACCAGCCTCGCCGCAGCAGAACGGGGTAGCCGAGCGTCGCATCGGCCTGGTCATGGAGGTTGCCCGGACCTCCATGTGCCATGCCGGTGCCCCCCAGTTCTTGTGGCCCCAGGCAGTCCGCTACGCCGCGCACCAGCTGAACCTGTGGCCTAGTGACGCACGGCCACGGGTGACGCCGGTCTCCCTTTGGACAGGTTCTCCGGGCGTAGCAGCTGACTTCCGTGTCTGGGGCTCTCTGGCTCACGTTCGCGCCCCTGGTGCGAACAAGTTGTCTCCGCGCACCCGTGCCTGCGTCTTTCTTGGTTTCCCTTTGGACGCCTCCGGCTGGTTGTTCTACGACCCGGCCACCTACAGTTCTTCGCTTCTCAGGACGTCACGTTCGACGAGTCTGTCTGTTACTACAGGAGTCGCCCCCACCGAGGTACTGAGGCCTTTTCTCCCCCGCTGTTCCTCACCCTTGAGCCCCCCCCAGTCGCCCCGGTAGCCCCCCCCCCTTCGCGTCCTGCCCCGTCAGGTGTGTCGCACGTCACTCCGCAGTCGTCCCCCCCGCAGCGTCCAGTCCGTGTCGTGTTTGAGGGTGCGGGAGGTGCAGTTGCGGAGGGTGAGGGTACTGGGGCTGCAGGAGCTGGTGGTGTCGGCTCTGGGGGTGCACGGGTTGTGGGTGTGGAGGTCACTCCCGTGGAGGACACGGCAGCCTCGAGCCGGCGGCCTCGCCCCGCGTCACCCCCTGGCTTCCCGTCCATCCCGCAGTTCCCTCCTCGTTCTTCTCTGCGGCCGGTTTCTGCGGAGCCCGGGGGTGCTACTGCGGGAGGCACTGGAGGCTCCGGGGGTGTCGACGGTGGAGGTGTTGGTTCTGGGGGTGCTGGAGCTGGAGGCACTGGCACTGTGGCGCCTACAACGCGCACTGTACGTTTCCTGACCCGTGAGCAGCGTCTCTTCCAGTTGGAGAGGGAGGAGCGTGCGCGGTTTGAGAGGGCACACCAGCAGCAGCAGCACGAGAGAGTAGAGGAGGAGTCACAGCCGCAGCAGGAGAGGGTAGAGGAGGAGTCACGGCCGCACCAGGAGAGGGTAGAGCAGGAGTCCCACCCGCAGCAGCAGGTGCAGTTACAGACCCGGCAGGAGCAAGTAGAGGAGCAGTCACCGCCGCACCAGGAGAGGGTAGAGCAGGAGTCCCACCCGCAGCAGCAGGTGCAGTTACAGACCCACCAGGAGAGAGTAGAGCAGGAGTCTCACCCGCAGCAGCAGGTGCAGTTACAGACCCAGCAGGAGAGAGTAGAGGAGGAGTCCCGGTCCCAGCAGCGGGTGCAGCTGCAGTCGCAGCAGGAGAGGGCAGAGGCGGAGCCACAGGAGCAGCAGCAGGGGCCGGTACCGTCGCAGCAGACGCCAGAGGAGGCGGAGCAGCAGCGACTGCGACTACGCGACCTCCCCGACCCATCACCTGCACGCTTTGTTCGTGGTCCCCTACCGTCCCCTCCTGTTCCCCCTGTTGAGTCCCTTTCCTCGTCCCAGTGGACTCGTCGTTCTCCCCTCAGTCGTGCTGTGTCCCCTGAGCGTCGTCGGTCCCGTTACCGTGCAGACGGTCCGTTCCACCTCGTTCTTCGCTCTCGTGTTCCACCTCCTCCCGTCCTTCCACAGCCCCCTGAGTCATCCCTCACTGTGCTTCACGACCCGTTGTCCGACTACCTTCGTGCCTCCCGTCCTGTTGTCTCCCGTGTTTTGTCCGCGTTGGTCACTCACCCGACTGCACCCTTGTCGTCTGTCTCAGCACTTGTTACCACTGTCGCTGACTTTGCCTCTTCCCACCGCCTTGACTACGCCGCTCACCTGGTGAGTGGCGCTGCTCGTTCTCCGTCCTCTGGGGGTGCTCCTGTCTTTCCCTTGGAGGTCCTGGAGGACAGGCAGTTTGAGCTTGGTTTCCTTGCGGCCGCTGTTCCTCATCTCTGCGCCATGCTGCTTGCCCCTGAGGGGGATCCAGACGCTCTTGACATTCCGATCCCTCGCACTCACGCTGAGGCGGTCTCGGGACCTTGGGCCTCGTACTGGATAGCAGCTGAGGAGGCAGAGATGGCATCTTATAGGTCCACAGGCACTTACGTCGACGCAGTCCCACCACCTGGGACGAACGTCGTCAGTGGCCAATGGCTCTACAAGGTGAAGCGGCCGCCTGGATCACCACCAGTGTTCAAGGCGCGCTATGTGGCGAGAGGTTTCAGTCAGCGAGCGGGGGTGGACTTCTTCCAGACCTTCGCTCCCACCCCGAAGATGAGTACTCTTCGGGTGTTGCTGCACATTGCAGCCCAGCGCGACTACGAGTTGCACTCTCTAGACTTTTCCACCGCGTTCCTTCAGGGGAGCCTGCACGAGCAGATCTGGCTGCGTCGCCCGCCTGGCTTCACTGGCTCTTTCCCACCTGGGACCCAGTGGCAGCTGCGTCGACCAGTCTACGGCCTGCGTCAGGCTCCACGTGAGTGGCACGACACACTTCGCTCGACCCTTGCAGCGCTTGACTTCTTTCCGTCGTCTGCCGACCCGTCACTGTTCGTCCGCCGTGGCTCGACCCCGTTCTTTGTTCTTGTTTACGTTGACGACCTGGTCTTCGCCACTCCCGACCGACACGCACTGGCCTCCGTGAAGGAGGAACTGCAGAGGAGACACACTTGCACTGACCTTGGTGAGCTGCAGCACTACCTTGGCCTGCAGATCACTAGGGACAGGGCAGCTCGCACCATTACGCTGACGCAGTCGCATATGGTCGAGCAGATCCTCACGCGGTTTCGCTTCCCGTTCTCCAAGGTACAGCTCACCCCTCTTGGTGTGGATCATGGGCTCACGGCTCCACCTTCGGACGAGTCATTTGAGCCCAGTGGTCCATATCCTGAGCTGGTGGGTTGTCTCATGTACCTGATGACATGTACTCGCCCAGACCTAGCTTACCCTCTTAGCGTCCTTGCGCGCTTTGTTGCGCCTGGGAGACACCGACCGTCCCACTGGTACGCTGCTAAGAGGGTGGCGCACGGAGAGTTAGACGGGACCGCCGGACACGGCAGGACCGTGGAGGAGTGTGCAAGAACTGGACCCCCAGAGGGGTCAGCTAGAGAGACTGCCACCGGCCGACTAAGCGGCGAGAGTGTGGTGGAGTCACGAAAGAAGGAGCGGGAAGCACCCGAGTCAAGGGTGAAAGTGTGTAAGGCCTGAGCCGATGCGGTACCTGAGAGAGCAGACTCACCAGTACCTGGGGGGGCAGTCTCACCAGCACCTGGAGTAGCAGACTCACCAGCACCTAGAGCAGCAGCCTCAATGTCCGGGTCGGGCGGAGCACACAGGTAACAGTCACCCTCAACACTAATAAACACAGCATACATAGCAGCAAGGATAGCATCATAATCAAGATCAAAGATAGCAACCCCCGACTTAAGCAGATCACCCTAGCGAGGGATCTCAGTCGAGTCGGGAAACTGCGTACGCCAAGCGTCAGTCAGGCGGCCAAAGCAGCGCTGTGTGGCGTGCGGTCCTCCACACGTCTCCCCACTGCGGTCGCCGGTGCGGAGAACGTAAGCGCAGGGACCAGCACCCCCAGACATCCCACGCCCAACGTACCACTCACGAAGCTGCTCGGGCGACAGGGTCTCACGAGGGCGCTGCTGCTGCTGGCGCTGCCCACCGCCAAAGCCTCCCCGCTGCACAGTGCCACCCCGACCAGCACCACCGCCGCCGCCACCCCCACCGCCGCCGCCGCCACCTCCACCCCCACAACCGCTGCCTCCGCCGCCTTCAACTCCACTGCCGCCACCGAAGCCCCCACTCCCGCCACCACCCCCACCTCCACCCCCACCCCCTCCGCCGCCTCCACCGCCACCACCGCCGCCCCCGCCGTCTCCTCCAGCACCCTTGCCCGCCTTGCTCCTGCCGCTGCGGCACCTCCCACTAGGAGCAGACGCAGCGCCGACCGACTCGGTGCCAACGAGGTCGAAGGCAGCAGCAGAGGCAACAGAAGGCAAAAGGGGAACGAGGGAGCACCCCTCAAAGAAAGGGGCACGAGGGTCACCACGAGAGGCTCCTACAGCGACTATACTCTTCTCAGCTGCTAGGAGGCGCTCCTCGAGGAGGTCAACGGTGAGCATGGTGGGGCAAAGGGAGAGGAAGTGGTCCCTGACCGAGCGAAGGGAGTCAAGGAGCCGGGTGATGAGGTAGTAGAGAGTGATATACATAGGGGGTGGGTTCGGGTGTCAGACTTATATGATCTAGCCTGTGTGGGCTGTAGCGGGTTAGATACTAAGGGGTACACAATTCTAGGGTTTCACATTTGTATCACACTCATTCCTTAGTCATTCATTCCTCGTGATTCTCACATGGTATAGAGCAGGTTCCCTAGTGGGAACGTTTCCTAGGGCCCACCACTGAAAATCGATTTTTTTTTTTTCCTGCCCGAAGCGCGCTTCGCTCCTGCCCGAGTCGCGCCGCGTGTGCCTACCCTCCCGTCGCGTCCCCTGCCCTTAGCGGCCCGTCGCGCCCTCTTACGGCCCCTCGCGGCCCCTCCCACGGCCCTTCGCGGCCCCTTCGCGGCTCCCTCGCGGCCCCTCCGCCGCCCTTCGCGGCCCCTCTCACGGCCCTTCACGACCCCTTGCGGCCCCTCGCGGCCCCTTCGCGGCCCCTCGCGGCCCCTTCACGGCCTCATCGCCGCCCTTCGCGGCCCCTGCGCGGCCCCTTCTCGGCCCCGTCGCCGCCCTTCACGGCCCCTTCTCAGCCCCGTCGCCGCCCTTCGCGGCCCCTCACGGCCCCTTCTCGGCCCCGTCGCCGCCCTTAGCGGCCCCTTTACGGCCCTTCCTGGCCCCTTCGCCGCCCTTAGCGGCCCCTTCTCGGCTCCTCCGCGGCCCCTTCTCGGCTCCTTCACGGCCCTGCCGCCCTGCCGTCGTCGCCCCAGCAGCAGCAGCCGTCGCGCCGTCACAGCCGCCGCCACCACTACCGGGGCCGCCGCCGCCGCCGCTGCCGACAGCAGGAGCCGCCGCCGCCGCCGACAGCAGCAGCCGCCGCCGCCGTTGCCGTGACAGCCGCCGCCGCCGCTGCCGGAGCCGCGGCCGCCGCCACCACCGCCCGGAGCAGCCGCCGCCGCCGCTGCCGTGACAGCCACCCCCGCCGCTACCGAGGCCGCAGCAGCCGCCGCCGCCAACAGCAGGAGCAGCTGCAGTTGTCGCGGCCCTGTCCCTGCCGGCGCGCCTCGGCCCTGCCCCGCCACTTGCGGCACTCTACCCACCCGCCCTGGTAAGAGCACCGCCGAGCCGCGCCTCTGCGACTGCGCTGCTCCTAGCCTGCTGCTATTGGCCCTAGCATGCTGCTACTGCTGTCATGGCTACCCCTAGCGTTCTCGTCTTTGATGCTGAGGGTCGGGCTGTCGACTTTGAGGTCTGGGTCGATGATCTGCAGCTTTTCCTACAGTGCGATAGGAAAGACGGTCTCTCACTGTTCGATCTCACGTCTGGCGCCTCTACTGCCCCTGCTGCCGATACTGACAGCACTGTTCGCTCACAGTGGGCCACACGCGATGCTGCTGCTCGTCTTGCTGTGCGTAGTCACTTGCCGTCCTCTGAGCGCGCGCACTTTAGTCAGTACAAGAGTGCTAAGACCTTGTACGATGCTGTAGTTGCACGCTACTCTTCCCCTGCCACTGCTGCCCTTAGCCGCCTCATGCTGCCGTACCTGTTCCCTGACCTCGCCGCCTTTCCCACAGTCGCTGACCTCATTACGCACCTTCGCACTAGTGACGCCCGCTACCGCGCTGCGCTTCCTGCTGAGTTCTGCGCCAAGAACCCCCCCCCCCATGTACATCACCCTCTACTACCTAGTCACCCGGCTCACTGACTCCCTTCGCTCGGTCAGGGACCACTTCCTCTTTGTTTGCCCCACCACACTCACCGTTGACCTCCTCGAGGAGCGCCTCCTGGCAGCTGAGAAGAGTATAGTCGCTGTAGGAGCCTCTCGTGGTGACCCGCGTTCCCCCTTCTTTGAGGGGTGCTCCCCCTCCCCCCTTTTGCCCTCTGTTTCCTCTGCTGCTGCCGTCGACTTCGTTGGCACCGAGTCAGTCGGCGCTGCGTCTGCCCCTAGCGGGAGACAACGCACCAGCAAGGGCAAGGGGGGCAAGGGCGCTGGAGGAGCTGGTGGGGGCGGTGGAGGTGGCGGTGGATGCGGCGGAGGGAGTGGGGGTGGCGGTGGGAGTGGTGGCGGGGGTGGGGGCTTCGGTGGCGGCGGTGGAGGAGGAGGCGGCGGCGGCGGTGGCGGTGGGAGCGGAGGAGGAGGCGGTGGCGGCGGCGGTGGAGGTGGCGGCGGCGGCGGTGGAGCGGGTCGGGGTGGCTCTGCGCAGCGGGGCGGCTTCGGTGGTGGTCAGCGCCAGCAGCAGCAGCGCACTCGTGAGACCCCGCCCCCCCAGCAGCTTCGTGAGTGGTACGCTGCACGTCAGCGGGGTGGGGGTGCTGGTCCTTGTGCCTACGTCCTGCGTACCGGCGACCGCACTGGTGAGCCGTGCGGTGGCCCGCACACCACCCAGCGCTGCTTTGGCCGCCTGAAGGACGCTTGGCGTCTCCAGTTCCCTGACGCCACTGAGATCCCCCGCTGGGGCGAGCTGCTTAGGTCGGGGGTTGCTATCTTTGATCTGGATTATGATGCTATTCTTGCTGCCATGTATGTTGTGTCTACTAGTGATGAGGGTGACTATTACCTGTGTGTTCCGCCTGACCCGGGCATTGCGGCTGCTGCTCTAGGTGCTGGTGAGGCTGCTGCTCTAGGTGCTAGTGCGGCTGCTGCCCTAGGTGCTGGTGAGTCTGCTGCCCCAGGTGCTGGTGAGTCTGCTCTCTCAGGTACCACGTCGGCTCAGGCCTTACACACCTTCACCCTTGACTTGGGTGCTTCCCGCTCCTTCATTCGAGACCGCACCACACTCACGCCGCTTAGTCGGCCAGTTGCTGTCTCCCTTGCAGACCCCTCTGGGGGTCCTGTCCTTGCCCACTTCTCCACTGTCTTACCGTGTCCGGCGGCCCCTTCTGGCACCCTGTCAGGTCTCTACCTCCCCTGGTTCTCTACGAACTTGGTGAGTGGTGCTGATCTACAGGATGGGGGGGTTGACCAGTTCACTCCTGCGAGTCAGCGGGTGACCCACTGTACGTGTGCTCGGACGGGCCGACACTTGGCCACGTTTACCCGTCAGCCGGGTTTGGGTACACACTGACACACTGCGAGCCTGTACACACTGACTACTGAGTCTCCTCCGGTTGCTGAGTCTGGTCAGGTAGCTGCGTCGGGTCAGGTGTTTGCTGCAGCGTCCAGGTCTGGTCCTGAGTCTGCTCCCTGCTCGTGTCGTCTCCTGTCCCACCGGACCCTCCTCTGGCACCACCGCCTAGGTCACCCCTCCCTGCCTCGTCTCCGAGGCATGGCCTCCCGTTACCTTGTCTCTGTTCTCCCCCGGTCCCTCCCTCCCCTCCCTCCGGGGCCTGCCCCTACCTGCGTTCCCTGCGTCCAGGGGCGGCAGAGCGCCGCTCCTCACTCCTCCAAGTTTCCTCCGACCGAGGCTCCGCTGCAGACTCTTCACATGGACGTGTGGGGCCCCGCCCGCGTCCGTGGCCAGGGTCACGAGCGTTACTTCCTGTTGGTGGTTGACGACTACTCGCGTTACACCACGGTCTTCCCCTTGCGCAGCAAGGGTGAGGTCACTGAGGTGTTGATCGACTGGATCCGCGCAGCTCGTCTCCAGCTCAGAGAGAGTTTCGGCTCGGACTTTCCTGTTCTGCGTCTGCACTCTGACAGAGGCGGAGAGTTTTCCTCTGACCTTCTGGGAGCCTTCTGTCGTGCACAGGGCATCCGCCAGACGTTCACGCTTCCGGCCTCTCCACAGCAAAATGGGATTGCTGAGCGCCGCATTGGCATGGTCATGGACGTCGCTCGTACGTCCATGATCCATGCGGCTGCCCCCCATTTTCTGTGGCCGTTCGCGGTTCAGTACGCGGCGCATCAGATCAACCTTCAGCCCCGGGTCTCCTTGCCGGAGACCTCCCCTACTCTGCGGTGGACGGGGAAGGTTGGCGATGCGTCTGCGTTTCGTGTCTGGGGATCTCGGGCTTTTGTCCGCGACTTGTCTGCGGACAAGCTGTCCCCCGTGCTGTTCCTTGCGTCTTCCTTGGCTTCCCCCCTGACGCGTCTGGTTGGCAGTTTTACCACCCCACCTCGCGCTGTGTTCTGTCCTCCCAGGACGTCACGTTTGACGAGTCGGTTCCTTACTACCGTCTCTTTCCCTACCGCACTGCGCCCCTCCCCCCGCCGCCGCTCTTCCTCGCGCCGGGTCCCCCTCCGGTAGACCCCCTTCCCCCTCAGGGTCCTGCCCCCTCAGGTGTGTCCCAGGTAGACGCAGTCGAGCCTGTCGAGGTAGCTGTTGACTCTGGTGCTGCTAGGGGTGCTGAGCCTGGGGGTGCTGAGCCTTTGGGTGTTGAGCCTGGGAGTGCTGAGACTGGGGGTGTTGCGCATGGGGGTGCTGAGCCTGGGGGTGTTGAGCCTTGGGGTGCTGCGTCTGGGGGTGCTGAGCCTGGGGGTGCGGAGCCTGAGGGTGCTGGGCCTGCTCGTGTGGAGTCTGGCGGTACTGGATCTGGAGGTCCCTCGGGTGCTTCGTCCCGGCGGGAGCTACCCTCTCCACAGGAGCTGCGCGAGTGGTTTGCTCGGCGCTGGAGCCGTGCTGCTGGAGCTGGAGGTACTGCTGGAGCTGGAGGTTCTGCTCCTACTGAGGGTGTTAGTGCCACGGGTCCCGAAGGTGCTCGTACTGGAGGTACTGGAGTTGCTAGGCCTGGGGGTGCTCCTGGTGCTGGAGCTGATGGCGGTGCTTCTGGAGCGGGTGCTGCTGGAGGTGCTGGAGCTGTGGCTGTTGAGTCTTCCGGTGGTCCGACTGGAGCTGGAGCTGCTGCGGGTGTTGGCACTGGAGGTGCTGCTGGCGCTGGTGCTTCTGAGGGTGCTGGGGTTGGCGGTGCTGCCGCTGGGGGTGCTGGTGCTGTCCCTGCTGGCTCTGGAGGCGCTGCGCGGCCGCGGCCGTACTTCGTTCCGCTCCTTGAGCAGGTTCTTAGTCTCCCGCCTTCTGCTGGTCCTGCTCCTTCCTTAGAGTGTCCGCCGTCTGTCCAGTCTGAGTCACAGTTACAGCCCGCCTCCCCACTGCCTGCTCCTTCTCCCTACACTGGTCCTA